TTGCCTGGTTTTGGAGTCAAGGTGATGCTATCTTCTAGGAATGACTTTGGGATTATTCCTTCTCTTCCAAGTTCATCAAAGAGTTTGAGGAGTATTGGAATTAGATCTTCCCTGAAGCTCTTGAAGAATTTGGCAGTGAATCCATGAGTTCCTGGATTTTTTTTTGTTTGGTAATTTTTTATTGCCATTTCAATGTTATTGCCTGTTGCAGGATTATTTAGGATTTTTAAGTCTTCTTAATTCTGTTTTGACAATTCACATGTACCTGGGAATCTCACCATTTTTTCTGAGTTCTCCAGTTTATACAGGTTTGTGAAGTAGTTGCTAATAATATAGATTTCAGTTGCACTAAGGAGGCTGAGGCAGGAGGATTGCCATAAGTTGAGGCCAGCCTGGGCTATATAATGAGTTCAAGGCCAGCTTGAACTACATAGGGAGACCCTGTCTCAAAAAAAAAAAAAAGTCTAGATTTCAAGTGTCTGCTGTGATTTTTTTGTCTTTTTAATTTCTAATTGCTTTGATTTGTGTCTTTTCTTTTTTAAAAAAATTGGTTAAGGATTTGTCTATTTTGTTTATTCTTTGAAAAAACCAGTTCTTCAATACATCGATTCTTTTTTATTGTTTTTTGTTTTGTTTTATTTTAGTCTCTATTTCATTGATTTCTGCTCTGATCTTTATAATTTCCTTCCTTGTGCTAGCTCTGGATTTGCATTGTTCTTTTTTTTCTAGACCTTGAGGTGCATCATTAGGTTACTTATTTGAGCCCATTCTGTTTTTCTGATGCAGGCATTCACTGCTATGAACTTCCCTCTTAGGACTGTTTTTATTGTGCCCCGTAGGTTCCAGTATATTGGACTCCATTGTCATTTGATTCTAGGAGCTGCCTAATTTCTTTCTTAATTTCTTTTGTGACTCATTTATTATTCAAGAGGTTATTGTTTAGTTTCTATGTATTTGCGTAGGTTCTGTTGCTGTGAATTTCTAGTGATTTCATTATGATCTGATAACATGCTTGGAATAATTTTGATTCTTTTGCATTTACTTAAGTATGCTTTATGGGCTAGAATGGGATTCATGTTGAAGAATATCCCATGAGAAGGATGTGTATTCTGTTGTTATTGTTGGGTGAAGCACTGTAGATATCTATTAAGTCTATTTGTTCAAAGTTTGGTTCAACCCTGATATTTCATTGTTGATTTTCTTTCTACTTTTTTTTTTTTTTTTTTTTGTTTTTTTTTTTTTTTTTTTAGTACTGGGACTTGC